GGCGCCGCTAATAAGGGGCCCCGGCGCGGCCCTGCCCCTCGCTGCCCGCGCCGGGAAGCGCCCCGGGCGCCTCCGCCCCGCCGGAGGGAGGCCCTGAGGGAGCGGGGGTGTGAGGGGAGGCGGGAGGGACGCGGGAGCCTGCAGGGGAACTGCGGGGGACGGGAGGGAGCCAGGGTGTGAGGGGAGCCATGGGGGACCTGAGGGGAGTCAGGGTGTGAGGGGAGCCATGGGGGACGCGAGGGGAGTCAAGGTGTGAGGGGAGCCATGAGGGACGTGATGGAACTAGGGGACATGAGGGGAATCAAGGTGTGAGAGGAGCAATGGGGGACGTGATGGAACTAGGGGATGTGAGGGGAATCAAGGTTGCACATGCACAATGGGGGACGTGATGGAACTAGGGGATGTGAGGGGAGTCAAGGTATGAGGGGAGCCATGGGGGACATGAGGGAACCGGGGGACATGCAGGGAGTCAAGGTGTGAGGGGAGCCATGGGGGACATGATGGAACAGGAGGATGTGAGGGGAGTCAAGGTATGAGGGGAGCCATGGGGGACATGAGGGGAGTCAAGGTGTGAGGGGAGCCATGGACGACGTGAGGGAACAGGAGGATGTGAGGGGAGTCAAGGTGTGAGGGGAGCCATGGGGGACATGAGGGAACCGGGGGACATGCAGGGAGTCAAGGTGTGAGGGGAGCCATGGGGGACATGATGGAACTAGGGGATGTGAGGGGAATCAAGGTGTGAGAGGAGCAATGGGGGACGGAACCTGGGAGGGGACCCCAGCAGTATGAGGAGATTTGGAGGTCCTTGAAGGAGACTGGGCATCCTGAAGGGTTTGGGGTGAACGGGGCAGGAGGGAAGCTGGGGTGTGAGGGGATCTGGGGACCCTCAAGGGGGACCAGGCATCCCGAGGGGCACTGGGGGATCAGGGGAAGTGAGTGACCCCAGCAGTATGAGGAGATTTGGAGGTCCTTGAAGGAGACTGGGCATCCTGAAGGGTTTGGGGTGAACGGGACAGGAGGGAAGCTGGGGTGTGAGGGATCTGGGGGCCCTCGGACCGGGCATCCCGAAGGGCACCGGGGGATCAGGGGGAGTGAACGGGGAGCAGAGGTGCCCCAAGGAGCCTGTCCCCGTCACCCCAGGCCTGGCCGCCGTGCGTGGCAAGAGTCATGCGGACAGAGAGGGGCAAGGACGGGCACGGGACAGCCCGACAGAGCCCAGCAGTGTCCTCATGAAGGTGAGTCCTTAGAGAAAGACGAAGCATGAGGACAATCCAGGTGAGATTTCCCAGGAAAACTCCCCCAGTCACCACCGATAACATCTCAGTGACATCCCGAGGTGGCAGGAGTATTTTCTGCAGGTTTCTTCAGTCCTACCCTTCAGGAATCTTTGCTTTGCGGGATTGGCTCCCTATGCCAGGCGCAGGCCAGCATTGCTTGGAACGCTACTTCGTTCCATCATTTTTTACTGATTACACTCGTAACCCATCCAGGCTATTGCTTTGCTGCCAAAAACTGTGATTGGTTCCAGGCAGCGCTACAGACATGTTGTTTTTTTGCCGTTTTCTTTGATTTAGCATTTGTGCCTTCATCCCCAGAGTTTGTCTGACCTGTGTAGTACACAGGCACTCCTCCAGGAGCTGTGTTAGGAAAATAAAATAGTAATTTATTCTCTGATACCAGCTGAGTTACAAGACAGTATTTTTTTAGCAAATTCAAACAATTTCAGTGAGTAATAGAAAATGTGCAGCTATTCAATTTGTTTGTCTTTCTAACTAAATCATGGAAATTCTTGGTTTGGTTTTTGTTTTTTCCTTTTAGACTGAAGCAGAGCAGCTTATGGCAATCCTGTCACTCAAGCTGAGGAAGCCGTGTAAATTCAGGCTTTACTTAACACAGGAGCTGCCATGCACTGCTTGCTGGAACATCTCTCAAGGAACAGCCATCCTTTTACTTTTATTTCTAATACTTTTAATAAAGGAAAACTTCATTTGAAAAACAGAGGTAACATTTATTTTATTTTATTTTATTTTATTTTATTTTATTTTATTTTATTTTATTTTATTTTATTTTATTTTATTTTTTATTTCATTTACAATTTTAAGCCTGTTTGCACTAAAGGCTCAATAACTTCTGTAACAAATTAAGTTTCTTGTATCCGTTACAGGAACCAAACTTCTCAAGTCCTCCTGGGGTTAGAGCTTCTGGTTGATTTGCCAGCTCTGCTGGTTTCACAGTATATTGCTCAGCATCATGTCTGGAGTGGTACAGCCAGGCAGTAGGTGCTACCTGAGTTTTTCCTTTTTTTTTTTTTTTTTTAGGAACGTTTTTGCAGAGGGAGCAGTCTAATTAGAGCACTCACTGTGTTTGTCTCATGTTTTCTTACGTTTAGCTAGAGGGAACCCAATTCCAGGCTTCGGATGTTACTTTTCAAGCTAAACACAAGTTGTTCTTCCCAACGGGGACGGGGAGGTCCGAGCGGTGCCGATCGCTTCCCGCTGCCGCCAGCTTGCTCCGTGCAGCAGCTCTCCGGAGAAGGGACCGAGGAGGCCACGGGAGCGAAGGAAGCGGAGGCCAGCGAGGTCCTGACAGGCGCCGAGGTGGAGCGGGGTGTTCTGGTGAGAAAAGGGTTTTTTAAGCAAGCAGCGCAGCAGCGAGCGGGAGGGGAGCCCTCCTGCCCTGCGCGGAGCTTCCACACTCGCTTTTGTGGGGCTTTTGCCGCCTTTCTGCAGGAAATCAGAGGCTTAAATGAGCCATAAATTGCTTAAAATGTGTTTGTGAAACTGTCCCAATGCCACTGTTGCTGGAAGAGCCTGCAAGAGCCATGGGGCTAGTCCTGATCCGTTGCTTTCTAGCACTTCCTTTCCCCTCCCGTTCTCCTCCTTTTCCTGCTCCGTGTCAGCATCCCTGTCAACGATTCGGTTGCTTCCTTCCTCCTGAGCATTACAAAGAAGTTATAATTGAGGTCTGAGGGTCAGTGCGGCAGGGCAGCAAACCTATTTCCATGGCAATTTCCTAAACATTTATAGAAATTACATTGCTGTATCTCACTGTTGAACAAACACGGCTCCAGGTTAACCAAGCGTTGTGACTTGGGGAAATAAAAGTTCAAAGGCTGGGTCATAGCTGGGGGAAGGTTCCTAAATGTGGAGAATCACATGCGCTTGCTACTTCCATGAAATTTAGGAAATGTGTTTATTTTAAGTCCTGGTTTTATGAGGCCCTTAAAAACTGTCAGTGCTTCTCTAAGAGCCAGGTCTCCAGCTAGACTCTGCTCATTTGCTGTGGACTTTGTGGTGGCAGTGGAAATGAAGCTCTACATCAAGCAATATCCGAACAAAAGGAAGAGAAGTTAGTGATGGAAACATAAGTAACATATATATTATAGTTAGGCAAATTGGGATGCATGCAGCTTTTCTGTTTTTTGTGTGTGTGTTTGTGTTTTTTTGCTTTTTGTTTTTTACAAACTATGCATTGTGGCAAATATCCTGATATTGGAGCAAGGGTTTGTCTCACACTTAGGTCGCATCTGGCTTGGACCCTTGG